CCTTAAAAATGCTTGGCATCAAAAAATGTCAATGAAAAGATATTCGCTCTAAACTCAGATCGGATATGGTAAAACCGCACCATCTCGGGAACTCTTCTCATTATTAATGGACCCCCGCCCTCTGGACATGGAGAAAAGAAAGAATGCAATTTAATAATGAGAAGAGTTCCCGAGATGGTGCGGTTTTACATATCCGATCTGAGTTTAGAGCGAATATCTTTTCATTGACATTTTTTGATGCCGAGAACATTCTTCAGGCTGGGGTACGAGTAGTGTTAGAGTTACTTCACCGATACTTTGATTTGAAAATAAGAACTTGCAGTTTATCGTAACCGATTCTATGTGTACTTAACAGTCATCGTACGTGTAGTCATTTACTTATTTATTTATTTATTTATTTATTTATTATTTATTTATTTATTTACGCACCCTATTTATTTATATCATCATAGACCATGTGAGGATAAAAAATGGAAAATATAGTCAAAAGCAAAAATCAAATGTTTTAGGGGGACTGCAAGTACGATAGCTGTTAGTATATGAATGCGGTATAATACAAACGTTTCTATCGTAGCGTTTCTCCTCCTGGGTTCAGGTCACCTAAAATTGAGACGCCGTTCATTCGCTGGAGCAAGCTTAGGACTAAGCCTAGGCCCAATCATAGGCTTAGGCATAAGTCAATGTGTAAGCATAAGCCTTAACCTAAGTCTAAACCCAAACTTAACCTTAAGCTTCAATGGTCGCGCAACTGTGGTGACCTGACCTCAGGAGGAGACCTTTAACGGTGCGGACTGGCATGCAGTTCGCTGCCCCGATATTCAGAGCATGGCCGTCGCTGTGCCGCTATAGGCGCGGCACGCCCACCGACTGGCCAACCATTCGCTGCACGTCTCTAGCTGTTTGTGAGAGAGAGCATTATCGTTGAAGAGGGCAGCACTGGTGAGAGACCATCAATGCGGATAAGTTCAGGAGTATTTATTACTGGGTTCTTAGATGTTTTCATGAGTTTTCATTCAAATCTTGATACCGCTGCCTCATCTCTAATGGGCGCATTGGATACGGTAACTCCCTTTTTCCCTTTTGCAGTGGCACCACTGTTCGATGGGGTGTGTGGTGAGTGAGAATATATGTAGCCGGTTCTGGCCTCAATCGCCACTTCCTCACAGATTCCCTGAAGTTCCAATGTCACGGCTCGACATTCTTAAAGCACTTAAGCCGTTTTTTTTTCGATTTTTTTTCAAATTTTGGCAGGCGGTTTTTTTGGTGGGGGGCCGCTTTGTTGGACAAAGAAGGGAATTGTAAGCTTGTGAGCCCGCTTAACGTCTCACCCCCCATAGATCCGAGGAAATTAAATGAAAATAAATTTCGGAACATGCCGGGCTCGGCAAGCTTACCTCTGAGGATTATTTTAAAACTCACGCAATAAAGAATTTTCAGGAGTTTTCGCTTGCGGAGATTATGATTGAAAAAATCATTCTTATTCGTGTTTTTTCTTGTTCTTTCAATCAATTTTGCTTTTCAAAGGTGATTTTCTGTTTTTTACGTGGCGCTACATGGGTTTTCAAAATTGGCAGTGTCTAATGCATATTTTCTGCTCTTCTGTCTTTCACTTATACATTGCGCTTCAAACTATCCATAAGCTTATTGGAGAAGAAGGACTTCGAGGTGGGTAAACCACTCAGCGTGTAAAAAGTTGTATTATATCAAGGGTGAATGGCTCACTCACCTCTGAGCTCCTTTCCCAAGGCTTAGTCCTGATGGTGACAACCCAGTGCGAGGGCGCAGACGAGCAGAAAATGGGCGCCAAATGGCGCAAGCCTCAAAATAAATGTCATATTCGTAATCAGGGCATCGAAATTACCCTATGGGCAAAGTTCGACGGAAAGAAATTTTCGAGATTCGGGCAGTACGTGAAATAGTTCCATTTACATTTTCTCAGAGAACTTTTATATGTCACCTCCACGAATAATCAGCACTAACTCGAGAATTCACTTACGTGACTATTTCATTGGAGTTACCAATTGTCAAGAATTTGACAGTCCTCATGGATTTTTTCTTTTTTATGTTGCTGTAGTGGTGTCCTGTTTTCAATCATGCAGTGAGAGATGTCCCTGCGTGACGGGCTGGTTCGTGACTCCTTGTATGTTGATTTGTATAGGGATTTTTTGTACTCGGCAAAGAGGTATCGGCGCAAGGATTAGAGCATAGTATTAAGTAAGTACAAGTTTATGGAATTATTTGCTCCGTGAGGAAGGGTTTTTCCAGCTAGAACATTCAGCTGTTTCTTCATCTAAATATGCTGGTTGATGTCGGATAATTCCCGACGGCCTATTTATGGTTCACTTGATCGTTTCTGTGTATCGTATCATGGCTTCTGCAGCAAGGTTGATATTAGGTCGAGCTATTTGATATGAAGATTTTTTCACCTAAGCCAGGACTTTGTCCTGCTTTGCCAGTGTGCTGTGCAACGCCACTATCGAAAGCGTGATAGAACGTTTCGCGGGGGGCCTCCGTAAGAGTAGTAAACGTTCATTTGAAGGCAAATTACCACTGTCCCTGCAATTGCTCAGAGGAACCTGCTTGAGCTTTATTTGGAGCGGCTAACGACCCGGACACAATAAAAAGGCACGAGCTGTGAGCATGGTACCATGTTTGCGAGTGCAGCCACAGCCTTTTGAATATCACTAAGCGTAGATTTGGACGGTCCAGGACGTTTGCGGGCGACCCTTACGGGAGACGGTCATTCAATCGTCAGGTAATGCAGGTCCCGCACCGGCTCCGCGCGGGTAACGCCGCGCGGGCAGGGGTGCGGCCATTTCTGTCTGACTTAGCTTGCCATCCATGTCGCACAAAATTGCAGTGGGCTAGGTAACTGAAAACGACAGAGTGCTAGCATCAATAAGCCAACAAGCGTCACTTCAAGATCCCCGCAGCGATTTAGGTCTCACAGAACAAGCTCCCACCATGTAAGGTTGTCCTTTTGAATTTAATTTGACTTTCTCTATTAACAGCTGCCTAAATTCTTATCAGAGAGTGATAATCTGGTTCATCAGAAAGAATATCACGTTCCAAGACACAGAGAAACGGTGAGGAAGGCTCTAACATAAGCATGCATGGAGATAAATCTTGTAAATGGCTAAGGGACAAAGAACTGATTTTAGGGAAAGGTGTTCTTCTCCATGTTTCATAGTGGTAACCATCATCCAAACCTCTCATTTCCAATGTTGGATGCCGAATTCTCAGAACGCGCGCGACATCGGGGAGGGGGCGGTGGCGCGGCGAACCTAGCCACTGCCGCTTGAATGCGTCACCGGCTTACGCTGCTACCTGTCTGACTTGCAGCGAGGGCATACTCTGCCTCTGACTGAGTATATCCGCGGCTATAGAATAGTTTGTGCCTCTCGAGGAGGACCGGTAGTTGTGCAGTCTCGGAGGACGACGCGGTACTGCTCAAGCTTGAGGAGGATACATCTATGCATCTGAGAAGTTGATTGCCAGAGTCCATTTGATTGAACTCACACGGACTGTGCTCTGCAAGAGAGTCCAGGGTTATACTGCACGCAATAATTTAGAAGATTTCATAGAGCATTTCTACGCGTATGTAGAGACAGCGTGCACTTTAAGTTCTGCGTCTAGACGAGCTTCTACAGGCCACAAGAGAATCTCCTGCTCTCCGTTCTACGTAGTTGTCGTTCCTTAACTTGCCTACTCAGTCCTCTACGATAGCAGTTACTCGAGCTAGTGGACCTCATGCAACTTCCTACTCCAAAGGTCCTTTTGCTACTCTGGAACTCGTAACCGACTCTTCTGAAGAGAAGTCAGGCACGAGCTCAGTGTTCTTCAGCCGTGTTCTCCCAATCTGTTATTCTCTTTATCTCACTCTTTTTCCCTTCTTCTTCCACCTTTTTGTTTGTTTGTACAACCTCTGAAGAAGAAAAGAGGCCGTTGCAAAATACGGAGCATCCCCCGGGACTAAGCCTACTAGGGGGCAGGGTCAGGTCCTATCGTTGTTACTTTTTCAAAAATTTTTACGACCCCCTCCCCAAGGTGGACTTGGTACGACCCCCTTTTCGACACCTCGACCACCATATTCCTCTCTATAGTATTTAATTCTGGTACCACTCAACCCACCAAACTCCGCTGCTTTGGGGGGGGGGGGTATATACGCGCGCTGAAACGGCGAATTTTTCTCCCATGCGCTCCCAACTCACCTAGCCTACTACTCGTGAAAACTCCACTTTCACCACAAACTCACATGTAATTTCACGCGACTGAAGCGGATACGACCCCCCCCTCCAAACTCAACCAGGTACGACCCCCCGTTGTTACTCGTAACAACGTAGGGTTGACCCTGCTAGGGGCATGAACACACCCTGGAATCTCTCTCCCCCGCCCATGGCCTAGACCATCCTAAAAAGAAAAAGATTTTTACGCGGTTTCCAAAGGCGCTGACACGACAATGCCCCCCTATCTTGCGATAGCGCTGCAGAAGAGCTAGAAGCATGAAAATATGTACACCTACACTTCTTAATCGCGTTGAAGACCACAATTCTAGAATAGAGAGACTCATTCAGTTGCAAGTAGGTAATTATCCTCAATCCTATTGATATCCAGAAAATGGCGCTCTGTTTAGTCAACACAGTCTATTTTCTAGATCGTGCAAGTTTATGGCGAGCATAAACGCCTGATAAGCGTTTCGCCGCACCTGGTAGAATATTTTTTGCTACCGTATCGCCGAATACCTTTCGTAACAGGCATTCACGACATTCCCGAGTTTCCGCCCTTTAGCTGCTTTCAGGTGACAACTCGCACACAAGCTAGAGAGAGACCTGAACAAAACTGGGAGTGATAACCAGCAATTCTCGATGTTTTTGAAAAGCACCTCCTACATTGTTGAAAAATTTGCGCATTTTTCGTGAGAAGACTTCTCGTAAACGCAGTTCTATTTTTTCTTTTCACCTTTAATACTCTTTCTTTTTCCAGTCTGACATTGCCCACACATGGATGTGTCCGTGGCAATTATTCAGCTAAAACGCACTGACCGTACATTTCTCTCTCCGCAAGACTATGATGTCGTCATTCTTGACGAACCATCAACCAGCTACAATGTGCCAAAGCATCAAGAAGTCCAGGTGATTGTGATTTTTTTTGGCGACATTATGGCCGCGGGCGAAAAGGCAGAGACGCAGACGGATCAGCGGACGAGTCGCAGCGTGTGCTGTGCAATGTGGGACGTACAATCGCGCATTCTACTTAACTTGACCATCGCTACAGCACGCGCTGCGACTCGTCCGCTATCCAGTCCGCGTCCAAATTCTCGCCGCATGCCAGGCCTCCTGTCGGGTACCCGACTGAACATGACGTAATTGAAAATTCTCGATGGTACACGACGAAAACTGAAAAACTCGATGCGTACACGAGGTGAAAAACTCAAAAGAAAAATCGAATACCAGATATTCTAGCCGATTTGACGCTATTTAAAGGCAAAGTTCGGGCTCAGACCCACTTAATGAGCCTTTACGGTGGCTAGAAGCGCTAGGCACGCAAGTGTAGGGTCGCGTCACTTCCCTACTTCGAAAACCGTTATTTAGACGCTAGGCTCTAAGAACTTTGACACGCTCCACCTGCTGCGACACGCTCCGCCCACCGCTCGATATCTTGTCTGCGTCGGAATGTTGATCTGCTATGCTCTCTCTACTTAGACTTCTCTAGCGCTCTCCGCGCTCACATTATCTCTCATCTCCCTGCCGGCCTTTTGAACTTCTCCGCACCGTAGAGGAAATGGCTCGTATTTCCTAAGCATTTCACGATTTTTTTTTCTTTTTCTGCACTGGCGGTCCACTACCTACCCTACTACTTTTTTTATAACTTCGTATACCAACGAGCTCACATTAAGAGGAATTAACTATGATTCAAGTCTGAATCTTGCCTTTAAGAAAGGATAAAAATGGGTAAAACAATTGGCCTGAATAAACACTGTGGACTCGCCACGATTTCTATTAGGATGGTAAAAAGTCCTGAGCCGATTTTTTGAAAGCTCCAGAACTTTCGCTTATTGATCGATACCTAGAATCTGCTACGTGATAGACTATCGCTGTCGATCATACTTCTCCGCAATAGGTATATATTGCCGGGTTGCCTTCTTTAACTTTAATAATGATGGTGATTCCACAAGAACACTTTCGAGCGATCATCTTCAATGAATCGCGCTGCGGCACAGGAGCAGTGGGAACCGTCAACATTATCAGCATCGCATTGGGAAGGGTCACCACTTCCATCATCAGTGCCAAGCTCTGGTTCGCAGGCTTCGAAGGAGGAGACACGGCTTTCAAAGAAAAGACAAGGTTGGGAAGCCCACAAAAGGTGGAAGACTCCACCGTTCTCGGCGCTGTCGAAGAGGATCCGGACGTTAGCACCCGCAGCCTTGTGATAAGACTCGGGTGCACCCATCCCACAGTCCTCGGTCCCCTTCACGACCTCGCCACAGGAAAGTGGTGACTCAATGGATTCCTCATGTCTTGACCGATAGCACGCGGTTCAGGCGGGTACCCATTTGTCAGTTTCTCCTTCTTTGTCCGCACCGAAAGGAGTTTTTGGAAGGCATGATTACGAGAGATGAGAGTTGGGTCCTCTACGATTCTAACAAGCACAGTGCCGTGTGGCTCCCTCGAAGAGAGGGCCTGCCGACACAAGCAAAATCGGACCTTCACCCCAAAAGCTGTCTCCTTTGCTACCTCTGGGATTCGTGAGGAATGCTGTATTATGAGATGCTCCCGTAAAGACATACCGCTACCGGCAGCATTTACGCCAGTCAGCTCTAGAAACTAGCGGACGCTGTTCAAGAAAAACGACCGAGACGAACTTCTGTCCACCTACTCCACGATGACGCCAGGCCCCACATAGCTAAAGAGACCCGTGCAGAATTGGAAGAGCTGATCTGGGACGCGGTTCCCCATCAACCCTATTCCCCTTACATTGCCCTCTCTGATTATCACTTACTCTATCCCCTTAAGGGATCCCTAGCGAAGAAAAAATTCACCAAAGGTAAAGAAGTTGGAAGAGCGGTCAGCGATTTCTTTGACTCTCAGTCTGCTCAGTTCTGGGAGAAGGAAGTCGCTGAACTGCACATTAGGTGGGACTCTGTAGTGAGTAGCAATGGTGATTATATTGTTGGGTAGATTCCATTCTACGTGGAATAAAAAAGCAAAGAACAAAAAAGTGTCAAACGGCTCAGGACTTTTTTACCACCCTAATACTTTGAATCGGATTCGTAGTCGCATTGTGAATGCTATGTGGCCTATACAATGATTCGCGGGGGCCAGTCGATGTACAAGTCAGTGATTTATCCTCCCAGATAAGCCAGATTACCATCTTAACTTAATGCCACGGGTGGAAGGCTTAGTTGGCTCGATTACGTAGTGTCATGTGCATTCCCAGTCTGCAGTTACGAACCAGATGTGAATAACGCCGTCGAGGATTTTCTGACCAGCCGCTCTACTTGTGCGGGAAGACCCGATAGTGATGTTCATGCGCGGAGAGCGCAGAGCGGCTCGCGGAAGATCCGCGCACGAAGGAAGTTAAGAAACAGTTCCGCGGAAAAATCCGATGCTTAAAGCAACAATCCAGGAACGAATTCGCGGGTAAGGACCACCTATAATGACGTTGCAGGTGAGAAGTTGGTCAATGGAGAAAGAAAAAGTAGAAAAAAACGTCGGGCAGGGGCTTAGACAGGGACTCCCCCTGCCGTTTAGGGAGACGTGTGTTGGACGAGTTGTCCGAACCTGCCCGTAGTACATGCGCTCCAATTGCAACTGCTGGCAAATAGCCATGCATGCTTGCAAATACATAACTATTTGCCAGCAATCGAAATTGAAGCGCTTCAATTGCGTTCTTATGGAATCGACCTCATACAGCGCGGCGGTCCCGCAACGACCGCTAGTCGAGCAAGCGCTCTGCACAGCGTATGTTGAGCGATCCGCCTCGGTATGGGTGATCCGCCCCCTCCAAGAGGACTTCGACCCCTTCCAGCGCATTTTAGAGGTAGGTTTTGAAATTAAAGACATTTCCTATAAACTTTAGTTGGGCTGGGGCATGTTTTGACCGCCTAATGACCAAGTAGTTGAAACCCTGCCTGGACTGTTGCTTTAAAGCCACGAGTCAGGATTAGGTGACCATAGAAGGCCTTTCCATCACTAAAATTTCCAGGAATGCGCTCAGAGGGGTGTTGCCGCCTGACTCGAGATTGCGCGCCGTCAAGGTTTCTGGCCTACAACTTATAGCGATGGGTTTGTTACATCAGCTGGTCCCGCCCACCGCGGGATGTGGTGCGTGGCTGGCCTAACGTGTGAGATCAGCTAGGTTGATTGCCGTATCAACCGATGGAACGGCTGGCATATCCGGAAAACTCGTTTGGACGTGGCTCTCCCCCGAGCAAGCCTCCTTCACTGCTAGAAGGGAAGGGGTTTCGATTTCGGTCTTGTCGACGGTTTCTTTGCGTTTTTTCTTCACTGTCGTTCCACCTCCCATCTCTACACTCAATTTCAGGCGCCATAATGCCCAAACACGAGCCTGACTTTTGCCTTTAAGATCCTCAAGCATATTCACCCTGGTTACGACGTGCTCAGCCGTGGGAACAATGTGACCCTACTCAAAAAGCGGAAATTCTTTGGAACTGAATGCGGGTCTAGCAATTCCACTTGCAGTGGCACGTAGGAACCAAGTTACCATGGGTGACAATTTTTAATAGGTTATTTCTATGAGGAACTTTTCGACTTGTTTTTAAAGGCAAAGTCCGGGATCAAACTTTTGTATTGTTGCGCTTGCAAGCGACAGGTGGAGATGCAAAGTGTAAAAGCAATAGTGATAAAATGGGAAGAAATCGTCGACAATGACGAAAGTAATGCCCCGTCGCTAAGCACGAAGTGAAAAAACCTTGACTTATGGGCGGGGCCAACTGTTGGGAGGGGTCAACGCTGCATCCTAGGCCTTAGCACTTCGGGTTTGCCAAATCATCCCGAAAGTAGTACATATGCTTCTCGCCTGCGCCACATTTTTCTCGGGAAGGCTTAATTTTGACCAAAATCCTGGACCACACAGGAATCGCCAATACCCGCAATCTGGTCTTCCTAACCTGCTTAACCTTTGGAAATTCATTGAAATTCGACGCTTTGTAGTACAGTGTTTTGCATACTTTGTTTTCATTTCAATGAATTGAGATTTCCTATTTTAGCCTTATCCAGTGAAGAAACGAACCACTGTTGGAGGGCATGGTGTGGCAAGTACCGTCATCAAACTGCCCTCATTTCGAGTAACCGACTGCAGCGCTAGCCTTGCGGACTCGGTGCTTAGCGAATTGACAACAAAAACAAGGTGAGCTAACAATGGTCAATGAAGTTGATGATCAGTCAAAAGAAGTGTAAATCAAGGTTGTCCCACTTAAAGGAGGATTTTACGATTAGAAGATAAATTATTTCATGTAAAGATAAGGCTACGAGGTTAGTCGTGGAAAAAAGGATAAAAAGATAAAGCATTTGCCGTTGATCAATCCCTTTTGGGATGCGGCACGCATTCTACTTCCATTTGTACATTCGTAGTGGCGTTTGAATGCGATGTGGCCTATACAATGACTTGCGGGGGCCAGCCGATGTACAAGTCAGTGTTTTTATCCTCCCAGACAAGTCTGGTACCAATTAACCGACCCCGGAGGGATGGAAGGCTTGGTTGGCCCGGGCGACTCACGACCCAGGATTTGATCCCCGGACCGCTCGCGTGGTGAAGCGTGCCACTTGCCACTACACCACTTCCGCCCATACATGGATGGAGAAAAAAATCATTGTTAAACCGCCCCGCCTGTCGCTTGCTGTTTTATGTCTTACAGAGGTGGGACCAGGTAAACTGTCGAGCCGACTGAATTCAAAATCCCTCCTATTTAGCGAGGCGAGCTCATAGGGCCCACCATTCCGCCACATGTGAAGAAGCATGTACATTATAAGACCTCAACACCACCTTATAAACAGCATGAATACTTTAACTTAGATGTTAAGTGATTCATTTCAAGACCTGGTCCCACATTTCGTATATAGTGCCTTTTTCTTCAGACTGTAAAAAATCCTTCCTTAATGCCTCCACAAAACGACCTCTTTTTCAAAAACCCTTCCAACTTACACAAATATAACTCGTCAACCTGAGTATTCAAAGGTATGATTACTCATAGCTGACCCAAATGCGACCATTTCTCAAAAAAGTGCAAAATTACTAAGTGCGGCTCGGATTGTGTGGCGGCGTACGCTTAAGGCCTGCGCCTCAACTGCAGAGAAGGAGCCAGCGCAAACCAGGAAATAGATGTGCCGGAAATCTCGCAGAAATTTTTGAAAATTCTCAATTTAGATCAGCATTCCGCCGACCGTTGCTATACCTCTGTGGGATGGCGATGGGCCTTCTTCAAGTGGTCGAATCGCTCCCGGTACGGTGCTTATGTGTGCTCCAGTAGTTCCTAAAGGTGAGTTCATTGCTTGTTTATTGAAGTAGTTCTTTTCCTTTGCAAGAAGATATAAGCGCTTCGAAATTCTTTCTGTGTTATCGATTAGTAGTGAGCGCAGAAATCGTTAAAGCTCTCGGAAATTGTTCAAACTTAGTTGACGAATAGTTACTCCGAAGCAACTTGGCGTTCATTATAGATTCATTAATTTGTGGGAAAATCCAAGCTCAGCTCATCTATGAATTTCCAAATGATCCCTCACTTTAAAGTGATTACTGAAATCTGCCGACTTATCGCTTAGTAATGTTGCGAATTTCCTGCTGTGTAATTTTCTACGGACTCCCATTTTATTTCTGAGGAGGACCTGGAGGACCGAGCATTTTTGGTGTTATTGAACGCTGTTAGTGGACTAGACTTCTCAAAGTGCTAGAGGGCGTGATTGGGACCGCCTCTATACGCCCTTCCACCAATGACATTCCATGACGTCATCGAAACCGCAACGCCCTCCAGCCATGCGATCGTTGCCCTTATCGCGGCCATTTGGAGGCGTACAATCAGTCAAACATATTGGATAAGCGAGGAGGAGGTGAACGATCAATCAAAATGGAAGCCAAAGGGTGAAGTACTTGCCGTCGGTGAGGTATAAAAAGGAGATAGCGGCGGCGTTGACCAATCTCTTTGTGGAATGCGGCACGCATCCTACTTCCACTGGAAATTCGTAGTGACGTTTGAATGCGATTTGGCTCTATACAATGACTTCTGGGGGCCAGCCGATGAATGAAGTCTGAGTATTCATCTCCACAGACAATTCTGCAAGCTATCAATCATCCCGGAAAGGAAAAAAACCATAAACTTCCTGATTTTGGAATCCTGAATGGGTGAACCCGTACGCGACCGCGCGGGATTGCCGGGATTGCGCAATAGCAGTAGAGTCAGGAGATTTTTCTTCAATAAAATTTGAGTGGATGGAGATTTCCTCTGCCCAGGGCTGGCGTAGATGAATGAGGGTATGAAGATTCTTTTCATGGAAGAAAACTTTCCAAATTCCATTTGAAACCGGCAGCCACGGTGGATGCCATTGCCCGAGTGAGATCTTTGGCAGCCACCGGTGGCTGCCATTGTCACGAATGGGTTAATGAGCAGGAAGAGCTGAAATAAACGGAAAAAAGTGGTAAAACATTCCACAAAACAACAGTTCTTTACGCGAATGATTACCTAAAATTAATAGCTTTTTTTCATTTCACTGAACAATTCTTTCAACGTTACTAACACAGAGCG